ACACTGAGACTTTGAGCTTCATTGGTTTAAATGTTATAGACTGTCACTTCAAAATACTTTACTACTGTGGGTGTCACTCTTACTCTCCTTAGTTGGGCTGTACTGTTTTTTGGCCCTAGGTTCTTTTTTGTCAAAATGAGATAGAAGGGTATGTATTTTCCACTTTTACACCAATCACATTTTAATACAACTACAGTTCAGGTGTTGATGTGGCAGTTACTACTATAATTGGATATTGATTTGTCCATTAGTACTATTGAACATCTTAAGGGCCATGCTTGGCTTGTAATCAAGTTGAACCCTGCTTAAGTGAGTTACATACTGGCCCAAGAGGGTTTTCTGGGTTTCAGTTGGCCCACTGATATAAATTCGGGGAGGCTGAGGCCCAAAAGCTGCTTAGAGAGTCGTCGATGGAGCTTCTGTAAACCGGTTAGTGGGAGGCTAGGATCTGTGCTGCTGCTGACCACAACTACCAGACAAGATTAACTATATCCCTGACCCCTGAGTTGCCACCAGTCATGGACCATGTTCCTAATAACAGACTCGCTACCATACATGGACTGTAACTCAATTGGAAGGTATGCCTGGGCCGATTTATAGTTAGTCAGGGATACAAGGAAATGTTTGTAATTTATCCTCTATCATCTTTGCAGAAGAAGAATAAAGACTGTTCCCCTGAGCCTGGTCTGAAGTTATTTCAAAAGGGGTGCATAATGGGGAATGCTTATGCAAAGAACTGGGGCCTGTGATAGCATTAAGGGGTATGAAGTATGTGGTACTACAGTACAAGCTGCACTTTAAGAACAGATCATTGCTAAGGACAACCAAGTTAAGTGGCAGACTCACAGGCAGCCTGTCAAGGTGTGGTACCTTGGTAAGGTGGGGTCTCTGCATGGGCTCCCTCCCTAGCAGTTCATCTCTCATAGCAACTGGAAGCAGACCAGCGTCACTGAGGCCTTCTGCCTGACTGTGTGGTATAAGAAGTGTTAATCTAGGACACACTTGAGACCCGCTCTTCGTGTCCGGTGGGGCTTCATTACCAGGAGTGAGCTAGTGGAGGTATGCTGGCTGGTGGAGTGGTGTGGTTCAGCTCGCCACTCAAAATGCAACACATGTGACACACTGAACGTAGAGCAATGGGACAGCTCGGAGTAGAAGGAAATATGGCTTTATACTACTTGAGGTGTCAGCTCATTTGACAGTTCCCGCCTGGTCTCAATCATTGGTAAGCATGCCTTTGACTAAGGTACCCCTAGTGCACTGACATGCTGGGTCCCGTCCACAAAATGACGTAGAGGGCAAAACACCACCTACCTTCAGGCTAACCTTTTAGAGCTTCCTATCACATTCCACCGCCTGTAAAAGTAATTCAGCATTCATTTAGCTGCTAGGATTACTTTTCTTTTGTAGAGAATTGGTTACTGAAAAAACAATACTACTGTAGATTCATTGTAGAGAATTGGCTGCTGAAAAAACAATACTAGATTCATGACTGCAGCTGCAGTCATGATCCTGGTATAGCCAACTTAATACCAGAATGTGTATGTCGGTACAGTAGTATTGAGGTAGTTAAGTGCTTGAGTGTAAGGGCCAAGACAGAAGTGGCTCTATAATTAAGCATATTAGGTGGTTGCCTAACGCCTCATGCTCACAGGGGCCTCCTGGCCGCCTAATTTGCCTAATCCAGGGCTTTTCTGGGCTGGCCTGGCCTGGAGGCTGGAGAGTGGCCACAAAGTGAGCTGGTGGCCGGCGATCGGCGATAGGGCAAACATAACTTCTCCCTGCAGACTGGATGTGTTCTTGACAGAAGTCACACTCTGGAGCTCGGAGCTGTGTGGAAATCTGGATGAAGAGTGACACCATAGCCTGACTGACTGCTCAGTGTGATTATCACTGTGCAGTTGTAAAGTGTCAGCCGCCTTGGAAAAGGTAAATTATTGATGATTGGCATTTGGATTGGCAATGTTGCAGGACAGAGGGCTTGTCTATTAATGCTGTTTGGATGTGGGTCTCTTTGTGACCATCTTTTAGCTCAGCTGGGACTGTCTTAGCTCAGCTGGATTGAGCTGTCTCTTAGCTGGATTGGGGTGTCTTTTACCTCAGCTTGGACTGTCTCTTAGCTGGATGGGGCTGTGTCTTAGCTCATCTGGATTGGGCTGTATTTTAGCTCAGCTGGGACTTTCTCTTAGCTGGAATAGGCTGTCTCTTAGCTGGATTGGACTGTCTCTTAGCTGGATTGGATTGTGGATTGGACTGTCTTTTAGCTGGATTGGACTGTCTGTTAGTTGGATATATGGGGGATGTCTCTTTGCTGGATATATGGGGGATGTCTCTTTGCTGGATATATGGGGGGTGTCTCTTTGCTGGATTTATGGGGCATGTCTGGATTTGCTGCTGATTTATGGGGCATGTCTCTTTGCTGGTTTTATGGGGCATGTCTTCTTGTTGGATATCTCTTTGCTGGAAACTGTGAATTCATAGTTCAAAGGATTTAAAGCTCTTAATATACAGTTGTGTTCAAAATAATAGCAGTGTGTTGAAAAAAGTGAATAAAGCTCAAAAATCCTTCTAATAGCTTTTATTTCCATACACACAAATGCATTGGGAACACTACACATTCTATTCCAAATCAAAACATGAAGAAAAATATATCAAATTTGTGTTGTTCCTCTAACAAAATTGAAGAAAAGTGAATATTAGACTGTTCAAAAAAAATAGCAGTGTTTGTATTCTTCTTTACAAACTCACAAACAAACATTCACTATATAAACTGAAAAATGTTTGAAGATTTTGCTTTCCTTTGAATCACTTAATTAATATTTTGTTGTATATCCACTGTTTCTGAGAACTGCTGTACATCTGTGTTGCATGGAGTCAACCAACTTCTGGCCCCTGTGAACAGATATTCCAGCCAGGATGATTGGACTACATTCCACAGTTCTTCTCTATTTCTTGGTTTTGCCTCAGAAACTGCATTTTTGATGTCACCCCACAAGGTTTCTATTGGATTAAGATCCGGGAATTGGGCTGGCCACTCCATAACGTCAATCTTGTTGGTCTGGAACCAAGATGTAGCACGTTTACTGGTGTGTTTGGGGTCATTGTTGGAACACCCATTTCAAGGGCATTTCCTCTTCAGCATAAGGCAGCATGACCTCTTCAAGTATTCTGAGAAGCATACCCATATCATGATGTTTGCGCAACCATGCTTCACTGTCTTCACAGTGTACTGTGGCTTGAATTCAGTGTTTGGGGGGTCGTCTGACAAACTGTCTCCGGCCACTAGACCCAAAAAAGAACAATCTTACTTTCATCAGTCCACAAAATGTTGCGCCATTTCTCTTTAGGCCAGTCAATGTGCTCTTTGGCAAATTGTAACCTCTTCAGCACGACGTTTTTTTCAACAGTGGGACTTTGCGGGGACTTCTTGCAGATAGCTTGGCTTCACATAGGCGTCTTCTAATTGTAACAGTACTCACAGGTAACTTTAGACCTTCTTTGATCTTCCTGGAGCTGATTGTTGGCTGAGTCCTTGCCATTTTGGCTATTCTTCGATCCATTTGAATGGTAGTTTTTCACTTTCTTCCACGTCTTTCAGGTTTTGGTTGCCATTTTAAAGCATTTGCGATCATTTTAGCTGAGCAGCCTATCATTTTCTGAACTTTTTTATATGTTTTCCCCTCTTCAATCAACGTTTTTGTCAAGGTGCGCTGTTCTTCTGAACAATGTCTGGAACGACCCATTTTCCTCAGAATTTCAGAGAGAAATGCACTGTAACCAGCATGTACAACATTTGCTGCCTTCCTTCCTTAAATAAGGGCAATAATTGCCACCTGTTTTTCAAAGAATGAATGACCTCACTAATAGAACTCCACACTGCTATTATTTTGAACATGCCCCTTTCAATTAGTGATTCAATTACACAGAATCAGCAGCATGCATGTCATGACTGTTGGGTCCGTTGGATTTCTATTACTCTACTACACCTGCTAGTAAATTATTTGCCATGTTGAAATATCATTTTTACCAAAAACAGTGACTGACCAGGTTAGCGATGTCTGACTGCTATTATTTTGAACACAACTGTATGTAATTTATACAGCTATTTTTTTTATCACTTTAATTATTTTTCTCATTATGGGTGTGAGTAGGGCCTCATGTCTACATTTTGCCTAAGGCCTCACAAAGCCTAGAGCTCCCTCTGTGCCAGGGAACGCATCACCAGAAACCGGAAGTGATGTTTTACACACAGCTTTCAGGTTCATTCTTGCTAGGGGAGATCAGCCCTGGGGAACTAGGGAAAATGTTATCTAGTCTTCCTCCCCTGCACCTGGCACCTGGCAGGACACCCACCATGCAGTGCCGCATAAACGGAAAATATACCAACATCCATCCGACAAATTAAGAATTCTAAAATGAACAAAACAAACCAGCAAGATCTGTGAATACAGAGAAAAGGTATTTTCCTCAACCCCAAGGAGAGGCTAGTGGTCGCACAGGCTGGATGTGGTGAGAACAGAGAAGTCCCTTGCATTGGGAGTGCAAGGACAGCAGTTGCTGATCCGGGAACCTGGAAGTTAGTGAGAAATGCTTTGACCCACGAGAGCAGAGAATGATGAGGCAGTGTAAGGATGAACTGACAGGTACTTAAAAAGAAACAGGAAAGTGGATTTACCTGCATAAACCATAATGTGATTGTGCTTTTTTTTTTCTGCAGCCAAGAAGTGCACTACAGAGGCATCAGTTTATGCATAAAATCATAAATGAGCATATTTGGGGTGGAATGGAAAGAGCCTCTTTTCTGTGTAAAGACAAATTGTAGGATTGAGTGTGAAGTTGTTGGTGGATGATTTATTGTTGCAAAATGTCTGTATTGTGATACATGCTACATTCTGTGAGAAGGTGGTTATTTTGGTGATCCCTAGGGGAAGTGGATGCCACAAGAATTCCATGCACATACTTTCTATTGCTTAGATAAATGCATACAAATACAACACTACCTGACAAAACGTGCATCTGATAGATCCTCCAGGGACCCAATCCTCCATTTTCTTTCCCAGATCAAGAGGTGCTGTGTATTCTTCATAATAGACTCTGAAAATGTGTATAAAATAAGACAGCGGTAAACTGAAGGAACCTGCATCTTGTATATATTGAAGCAGAACTACTATGGGGCCTGGGAGCAATGGAGTCCAGCACATACCAACATTTCTTCCTGCCTACAATCTTGGTGATCGCAACATTTTATCCTGTCTCTTTTGCATCATTCACTACAGGCTAGTGATTACTGATACCAGTGATGATCTACACTGAGCTGAACACCAATGGCACTTTTTCTGACACAATGGCTACCAATGTAAAAGGGCAGTTCTTCTGACACATAGACCACCAATGTAAGGGGGCTCTTCTTCCGACTCAATGACTAAAAAAATCTAAGGGTGCAATTCTTCCCTGAACAGAGTACCAATGTAAGGGGGAACTACTTCTGACACACTGACTACAGATGTAAGCGGGCACTTCTTCTGACATCCTGACTACCAATGTTACCGATGTAAAGGGGCACTTCTTCTGACATACTGACTATCAGTGTAAGGTGGCAGCCTTCTGACACAATGGGGTTTATTTACTAAAGCTGGAGAGTCCAAAATCAGACTCCCTTCTGCATAGAAACCAATCAGCTTCCAGGTTTCATTGCCAAAGCTTCATTGAACAAGCTGAGGTTAGAAGCTGATTGGTTTCTATGCAGAAGAGAGTCTGATTTTGGACTCTCCAGCTTTAGTAAATAAACCCCAATGGGTTTGATTTACTAAAACTTGAGCATGCAAAATCGGGTGCAAGTCTGCAGAGTAACCAATCAGCTCCCATGTTTTTTTTTGTTAAAGCTTAATTGAACAAGCTGAAGTTAGAAGCTGATTGGCTACAATGCACAGCCGCACTGGATTTTGCACTCTCCAGTTTTAGTTTAATCAACCCCAATGACTACCAATGTAAGGTGGTACTTCTTCTGACACAATGACTACCAATGTAAGGGGCATTTCTTGTTCAACTGACTACCAATGTAATGGGGCACTACTTCTGACACAAATGACTATCAATGTAAGGGGGCACTTCTTCTGACACAAATGACTACCAATGTAAGGGGAAATGTCTTTTGACACATGGACTACCAATGTAAGGGGGCACTTCGTCTGACACACTGACTACCAATGTAAGGGGGCACTTCTTCTGACACACTGACTACCAATGTAAGTGGGCACTTCTTCTGACACACTGACTACCAATGTAAGGGGGCACTTCTTCTGACACACTGACTACCAATGTAAGGGGGCACTTCTTCTGACACACTGACTACCAATGTAAGTGGGCACTTCTTCTGACACACTGACTACCAATGTAAGGGGGCACTTCTTCTGACACACTGACTACCAGTGTAAGAGGGCACTTCTTATGACACACTGCCTACCAATGTAAGGGGGCACTTCTTATGACACACTGCCTACCAATGTAAGGGGGCACTTCTTCTGACACACTGACTACCAATGTAAGGGGGCACTTCTTATGACACAATGCCTACCAATGTAAGGGGGCACTTCTTCTGACACACTGACTACCAATGTAAGTGGGCACTTCTTCTGACACACTGACTACCAATGTAAGGGGGCACTTCTTCTGACACACTGACTACCAGTGTAAGAGGGCACTTCTTATGACACACTGCCTACCAATGTAAGGGGGCACTTCTTCTGACACACTGACTACCAATGTAAGGGGGCGCTTCTTCTGACACACTGCCTACCAATGTAAGGGGGCACTTCTTCTGACACACTGCCTACCAATGTAAGGGGGCACTTCTTCTGACACACTGCCTACCAATGTAAGGGGGCACTTCTTCTGACACACTGACTAACAATGTAAGAGGGCACTTCTTCCGACACACTGACTACCAATGTAAGGGGGCACTTCTTCTGACACACTGACTACCAATGTAAGGGAGCACTTCTTCTGACACACTGACTACCAATGTAAGGGGGCACTTCTTCTGACACACTGACTACCAATGTAAGGGGGCACTTCTGACACACTGACTACCAATGTAAGGGGGCGCTTCTTCTGACACACTGACTACCAGTGTAAGAGGGCACTTCTTCTGACACACTGACTACCAATGTAAGGGGGCGCTTCTTCTGACACACTGACTACCAATGTAAGGGGGCGCTTCTTCTGACACACTGACTACCAATGTAAGGGGGCACTTCTGACACACTGACTACCAATGTAAGGGGGCGCTTCTTCTGACACACTGACTACCAGTGTAAGAGGGCACTTCTTCTGACACACTGACTACCAATGTAAGCGGACACTTCTTCTGACACACTGACTACCAATGTAAGGGGGCACTTCTTCTGACACACTGACTACCAATGTAAGGGGGCGCTTCTTCTGACACACTGCCTACCAATGTAAGGGGGCACTTCTTCTGACACACTGACTAACAATGTAAGAGGGCACTTCTTCCGACACACTGACTACCAATGTAAGGGGGCACTTCTTCTGACACACTGACTACCAATGTAAGGGGGCACTTCTGACACACTGACTACCAATGTAAGGGGGCGCTTCTTCTGACACACTGACTACCAGTGTAAGAGGGCACTTCTTCTGACACACTAACTACCAATGTAAGGGGGCACTTCTTCTGACACACTGACTACCAATGTAAGGGGGCACTTCTTCTGACACACTGACTACCAGTGTAAGAGGGCACTTCTTCTTCTGACACACTAACTACCAATGTAAGGGGGCGCTTCTTCTGACACACTGACTACCAATGTAAGGGGGCACTTCTGACACACTGACTACCAATGTAAGGAGGCACTTCTTCTGACACACTGACTACCAATGTAAGGGGGCACTTCTTCTAACACACTGACTACCAGTGTAAGAGGGCACTTCTTGTGACACACTGACTACCAATGTCAGGGGGTGCTTCTTCTGACACACTGAATACCAATGTAAGGGGGCGCTTCTTCTGACACACTGAATACCAATGTAAGGGGGCACTTCTTCTGACACACTGACTACCAATGTAAGGGGCATTTCTTGTTCAACTGACTACCAACGTAGGGGTGCACAACTTCTGACACACTGACTACCAATGTAAGGGGCACTTCTTGTTCAACTGAAAACCAATATAAGGGGCCAATTCTTCTGAAACACTGATCATTAGGCTACGTTCACACTAGCCTTGTGTGCAGGCGGCAGAGAGGCGTTTGGGAAGCGTTTTTACCGCTTCCCAAACGCCTCTGCCAATTCTGCACATTACAGCACATGGTGCTGTTCTAACGGGAGCGTTTGCGTCGCGTCGCGGCAAAACGGACGCCTCTGGACGAGTCAGGAGGCTTTGAAGCCTCCTATTCTCGTCTATGGTGCCGCTCCGCAAACGCCCGGCCGGCGTTTGCGGTGCGGTTGCGGGGCGTTTGCGGAGCGGTAACACCACTCAAACTGCATTATAGGCGTTTGTGGGGCGTTATTAACGCTCGGCAAACGCCTAGCAACCGCCGCTAAACCGCGCATGCGGCGTTTGCGGAGCGTTTGCCGAGCGTTAAAAAACGCTCCGCAAACGCCGGACCAACGCTTGCCAAATGCTATAGGGGCGTTTGGCAAGCGTTGGCAAAACAGCCTAGTGTGAACGAGCCCTTAATATAAGGGGGCATTACTTCTGACATAATGGGGGATATTTACTCAAACTGGTGCACTTAAGATCTGGTGCAGCTGTGCTTAGTAACCAATCAGCTTCTAGGTTTTATTGTCTTCCCTATTGGTATTCCCAAGTGTAACTCGTGGTAAAGTTTCAGTACCAAAAGTGGTAACCCCGCGCTACAATGCGGCGCTACTCCGCGATCCCTCGATCACGTACCTTGTCCTGCGCTCCCGCGATGTCCCTCCTGCAGTGTCCGTGGCAATGTCCTCTGGCGGATGTCGGCATCTGTCATCTGGGTTCCGTCCCCTGCGAGCGGTGGGACGTACGGGGACGGAAATGGGGGGAAATTTGAAAACACAAGGTAAGTGTCAGGAGCGTGTAACGCTCCTGTTCCATGGCAGCTGTTTGTCTCATTCCAGCATGTTGGTTTTGGCTGAGCTGCACTCTTTCTGTCTAGCTGTCCACCTACAGGGAGATTGATGTAGACACAGCCTCTGGGTGGAGACCAAATCTTTTCTAAGCCTGCCAAGCCCTTAGTGTGATGTGATAGTGTTTGAAACACGTACTTCAAGCTCCCCATTTGCCTGCCTTGTTCTCATGCTTTGACCTTTGCCTGATTCCCCGCTGCCTGCTAGTTTAGATTTTCTTGTTATCAACCTTAAATTGGACTTTGGCCTACTCTCTGAAGTCTGCCTGCCTTTTGACCATGGATTTGACCCTAACTACTCTTTGAATGTTACCTGCCTGGAACCCGGACTGCAGTTGGACTACTCTGTGTGTCTGCCAACCGCAAGTACCTGTTTGCTGTGCTTAGATGGTGCCTGCCCCGATGGGGTAACCAGGCACTATAGCACTGTGTATAAGACCTCAGGGCAACCGAGTAACATTAGGTCTGCCTGCCTTATGGGAAAGGGGGCTGCTATAGGTGAAGAACACAGAGCCAGCTATAGTGCCTGACCACTAACGCTAGGGGTAGGTGTGACATTAAGCCTATTTCCCATCAACCATTTTCCATAAATGAAATGTACACTTACTTAAAGTTAGGATTAATGTTGATATGGTGAGCGCCTTCCACAACCCGAAAATCACTGCCGTGCCCAACTGCAATGCTACACTTTCGACAGTCGAGTCGAACATCTTCAGGATTGAACTTCTTTTTCTTCTCCACCTTAGCTTGTTTCACCTGACGTTCAATGACAGATGATAACTGCAGAGCCAAAATCTGTGCCAGAAAACCAGAGACTTATCAAATGGTTAAATATTTACTCCTACATCAACTCTACCACTGCCTGGCACAACCTACCTTTTTGTACAGAGGATGGACAGAATATATTTACTGTTTATCAAATACACATTAGAGATTTGAATGTTTGTGAAAGACCCCTCCTTCCCCAGCTAGAATTAAAGATGGCGCCATTCATTCTGCATTTCCCATCACAGTTGGACAACTGTAAACCATAATTTTATATTGGTAAAAATACCTTTAAGCTCAAAATTGATCCATACTAATACATAATCTCAAAAATCTCTACTATAAAAGATAAAACAGCATCTAGTCAATATATATAAATATAATATTGTGTGGTTTTGTGAAAAGGTGGAAAATAATAACTAGGAGACTTACACTAAAAACTTTACAGGTTTTTATATTTAGCATTAAGTAAAATGGTGACCCCACAATTATTCCTAAACCTACACCATGTGTGGTGATGTCCAACATGCATTGTGCAAATTATATTTTTTTTTTTTTTTACTTTATGCTGACTTATATGTATTATTTAAAAGATAAATGCACCTTTATACAAAAATAATAAATGCACATTTTTTTTGCAGTTATAAAAATGTGTTTATTATTTTTTGTTGCAGAAGCTTGTAAACCATTGCACCAGCAATTAGCAGATCACTGGTGCCATGCAGGTCTCCTGCAGATCTGACAGTATATCTGCTTGCCTGTATTGGATGCATGGACAAGCAGATATACTGACAGGAAGACTCAATGGTGGGGAAATCCTGCTTTGTAATTTTGTTGTTTTAGGGTTTTTTTTGACAACCTCAGTTTGACACACTTCCGATATTATTCAGAATTCATTGACAAGTGCATTTGACCAGCAGCTGACCTCTTTCTGACCTACATTTGTCATGTTTCAAGCAGGTTTTGCATTTCTAGACTTGTATGTGCCACATATTACCGGAATTGTGGACCCTTTGTGCTGCTAAGGTGCAAGCCCCCAAAAGGGCCCAGGCATAGAGTCTAAGGAGCCTCCTGGTATTCACCAGTGCACTTCCAAAGGGGTAGGATTTTGCAGGACGGCTCCCAGCTTGCAGCCCTCAAAGACACCTGTCTAGACAACTGATACAGGAATTAGAGACGTCACCAGAGACATAGGGAAGGATGGAGAGACACAGCTACAGGAACACAGCAGAAAATCACTGGGAAGACTGGGGTGCTGGGATCACAGGATGTACAGGGGTGCAGGAGTCTCTGGAAGCACTGGGATGCTTGAATCAAAGGAACTCACTCAGTGACAGGGAACTCAAGTGTAAGAGACTCTTGCAGCACTGGAGTTCTGGGAACACAGGTACACAGGAGAGTGAGTCTTTTGCAGCACCGGAGTCCTGGGAACACAGGTACACAGGAGAGTGAGTCTTTTGCAGCACCGGAGTCCTGGGAACACAGGTACACAGGAGAGTGAGTCTTTTGCAGCACCGGAGTCCTGGGAACACAGGTACACAGGAGAGTGAGTCTTTTCCAGCACTGGGGTTCAGGGAACACAGGAACAAGAGATTCTAGTAGCACTGGAAGACAGGATTGTAGGGACACTGTAGGGGCTCCGTAAGAAGCATATCAAGGTTCTGGAGTGGCCTAGCCAGTCTCCAGACCTAAATCCGATAGAACATCTTTGGAGGGAGCTGAAACTCCGTGTTGCTCAGCGACAGCCCCGAAACCTGACAGATCTAGAGGAGATCTGTGTGGAGGAGTGGGCCAAAATCCCTGTTGCAGTGTGTGCAAACCTGGTCAAGAACTACAGGAAACGTTTGACCTCTGTAATTGCAAACAAAGACTTCTGTACCAAATATTAACACTGATTTTCTCAGGTGTTCAAATACTTATGTTCAGCAGTGCAAGACAAATAAATTCTTTAAAAATCATACAATGTGATTTCCTGAATTTTTTTTTTAATTCTGTCTCTCAGAGTGGGAATGCACCTACAATGTGAATTTCAGACCCCTCCATGATTTCTAAGTGGGAGAACTTGCAAAATCGCATGGTGTTCAAATACTTCTGTTCCTCACTGTATATAGAGGGCAGGAATAGGAGTAAAGATGGCCATAAAGTCATCTTTTTTTTTTCTATTAGCCAGTGGACTGGATTCACTTGGATAGAGGAATCCTCCTCACTGTGCTATTGTATTCTGACAGCTCTGCTCTCAGAATACACTGATCAGTGGTTGCAGCAGATGAGCAAGAAAAGTTTTCCAACATTCTTGTTGGAACAAAATGTAATCGTTAGACCAACTTCTGCGAGAAAGGGAGGGAAAGAGGGCAGAAGAGCAAGGGGAGGGATGGATGATGGGGGGAAAATGAAAGAGAGGGGGGAGAGAAAGGTGGGGGGAGAGAGAATGAGCACAGAGGGATGTACAGAGATCACTTCTGCTGGTATCCATGCAATGGTTATTCCTTTCATAGGACTCCAAATTTCTGCTTTTTTCTCATGCTAGACTCCTTCACGTGTCGTTGGGGAGGTAAAACCATGTACTTGAGCCATGGTTTTACTGCTCCCCTTTAGGGTATATTCACATCAGATGCAGTGGGACTGTGTTGAGCGACTATCCCGGCTCAGTCCCACTGCATGACAAGGCAAAATACCTTGTATCTGGTATGTCCAATTCAATGTTGTGAATGCCGTAGTTTTTTTTTTAGCCCAATGAAGTGTAAAGCCGCTGCGTCGTAATGCAGTGTTTGGTGTGATTAGATGCTTAGCTGACAAGCTAGCAGCTGGGAGTGGACAGATTCTGCAGCCGTGATGCTCTGCACTGCAACCTTCTCGCAACTGCATGCAATGCTAGTGGTTGTGGTAGAGTGGTGCAGTATTTTGGGGGTTAAAACAAATGTCAAATGCCTCTGAAGAGTAATCTGTGAGTGGATTGATTTTCAGAAGAGCAGCAGTTTTTTTTAATCAGAAGAGCAGAGGGAGGGACATCTGAAAATGGCAACAAATGTCAATGGGGGGAGCAGGGCCGTATGTCTGCACTTACCAACTACTCCGTCAGGCAGCCAGGATCTACAGTACTTCCTGCACTCTCTATGTAATCCTACTTGGAGCCTGCACATACACAGAAGCCCTTTGAGTGCTGTCTGCGCATGGGGGGGAGTGGCGTATAGGCGGGGCAGACACAGCAGGGATAGGATGGAGGGGGGGGGGGGGGGGGTGGCAGATTCAGCCTGCTCTGCTCTATGCATCCAGCACTGAGCACACTGCTGGTCCTGTGTCTATCTTACTGACAGGATTGGTGAGAGTGAGACAATGAGTAATAAGATTGGCAGTGCACCCCCCCTCCCCCTCCCATCCTGAAACTCTGACAGTGATAGGGAGATGCTGCAGCCATATGGATTCCTCTGTGTGCAGTGTGTGAGAGGGCACAGTGTGCTCCACACACAATGATGTGTCAGTGATCCTGAGGGGGGCGCCACTGAAATCTGCAGGGGCAAAGCCCACCCCAGAACCCCCCTAGATCCGGCCATGCTTCTAATGTGTATTTTTGGTTCCCAATTACTTTAACATTTCTTAATATTGAACCGCGTCTGCCATGTAGCTCCCCAATCCCCTATTTTTTCAAGGTATTCCTGTTAGATCCCGTGCCAAAGTTATTTCCCTGTATACTTTGTTATTTTGGCATCAGCAAACATGAAACTGAACTCTTAATACCAACTGTACCATTAATAAACACATTGAACAGAATTGGCCAAAGACAGACCCCTGGGGCACACCACTCACACCTTAAGACCATTCAGAGAATGTGTCATTTATCACTAATCTCTGGACCTGTTCATTTAATTAGTTTACTCTCCATGTACAACTTCATCAACTCCAACAAACCTTATTTTATAGATTAAATGTTTAGGAGGTACAGTATCAAATTCCTTAGCAAAATCTAGATAAACTTTGTCCACTGGACTTCCACCATCCGATTTCTTACTTCCTCATAGAATGATAACAGGTTGGTCTGACAAGAACAGATCCATACTGACTGTCACTTATGACACCTTTATCACTGAAACTGTAGAGAGTCCCATACCATTCCCTCAAATACCTTACATACTATTGATGTTAGGCTGACTGGTCTGTAGTTTTCTGGCATACGTCTCAGTTCTTTTTTGAATATTGGAACCATATTTACTTTATGCCAATCAGTTGGTGCCTTGCAGTCAGTAAGGTGTCTTTAAAAATTACATATAGAAGTTTGGTTATCATAGATCTCAATTACCCCCAAGACACAGAGGTGTAAGCTATCTGGACATGGCAGATTATTTACATGAAGTTTTTTCTAGTCCATCTATTCTGTTTAGAACCTTATTTTCTGCCAGAAAAAGTTTTACATTCAGCACATTGTTATTAGCATTATTGTTCCAACAATCAAACCCATCATTCATTTGTATTAATTGAAGTGAAAATGTATTTAATGCATCTGGCTATGATCAGCACCCATGCTATGGCACCAACACATAAGCCCAAGCTATGATAAGTGCAGTAGCCTATACCTCCTAACTATGTGCGATTTGGTTCCTTCAGATTAGTTTTTTGGATGAAAAATTTCATTTTTCGAAGATTCAGATGTACTAAAATTTCTGACTGGACACAGTAATGAATCTGAAAAAAGTTATAACAAATTTTTTAGATTCATTCAGATTCATTAAGAAGCTGGTTGTTAAGGAGTGGGTGGCTACCACGTTCTTAAAGTGGAGTTTCAGTCAAACTGTAAAAAAAAAAAAGTCAGCAACTACAAAAACTGTAGCTGCTGACCTTTAAAAAACAGACACTTACCTGTCCCTCGATCCTGCGGTGTCCTTCTAGCAGTTCGTTTCACCAGCCATCCTGTGTTCATAGCACTGGCATCTTCAGTGTGGGCACCCGGCTGTAACAGCTTGCGGCATCACATCCGGGTGCCCACTGTGCATGAACAAGTAGCGCTACGCTTTCTGAATGGTCCCGTAGTCTTCTGGGACCTGTCACGTGTCCCAGAAGACTACGAGGAGGGAGAATAACTTCCGCTTCTGATCACCTAGACTATCACAGCGGTAGTGGGATCGGGTACCTGTCAATTTCAGGTACCTGCTCCAACCACTCCCCAAAGGTGCCAATTTGGGTGGAGCTCTGCTTTAACAACCATGACTCATCTGCTGTCAGTGGGATTCCCCACTGTCAGCAGAATGTAAACAAAAGAAGTGCCAGGTAAAAATATAAAAAAAAACAGTGTGGGGTTCCCCCTAATCCTTACCAGGCCCTTCAACCATTATCCAAGCATGCAACCCGGCAAGCCAGGAAAGGGGGGGGAAAAGCAAGCACCCCCGAACCATACCAGGCCACATGGCCTCAACATGGGGGGAAGCACCTTGGGGGACAGGGACAAGGGCCTCATCCCCACAACCTACAAAGCCAGCTTCTTACCAACCAGGCTATTCAAAATGAAATCACCCGAATACCAAAGATATGAAATAAACTTCAAAAACAAATAGGGTCCATTAACGAATGCATCTGAGACAAATTCTTCAGTTATTCAATGTATCTGAAAATGAAACGAAACAAAATTTTCTGGCGTGCACATGTCTATTCCTAACTACACTGTGCCTGTTAGATAGAGGATTGATACCTTCTGATTTTACATTTTACAGCATGGCGGTATTTGCCTAGGGCAACAAAGTATCAGAAGAGTGAAAAAGCTACCATTGCTTCAGTATCTCACAACACAAATGATTCCTTTGTAGGAAGGTAAGCAAAAAAAACAGAATAGAGGAATGAAGATTTCTTAAGAAAGGCAAAGATGAGTGCAAGGCTAAAATTTGGCCCTATATGTCATCCTAGATTATCACCTAAGCGTGTTCTGTAGAAACGCAGTACAGTCCATTTAACATGATTTCCTATGGGACATGTTCACATCTCCGTGGTTTCACCCGGTGCGTTCTTTGGAAAGGGTCAGGGACTTTTTTAAAAGCAAAAAATTGCATTTTTGGTTCTGTAAACTTAAATGGAAACGCTGCAGAAACGCTACGTATTACGTTTTTGCCGCATTTTTTTATGGGTTTTTGATGTGTTTTGCATTTTAAATCTACCTAGCAACAAGAAAAAAAAAATTAAAAAAACGCAAAACACGTCAAATACGCAAACCACAAAGCAGTAAAGGCTAAAACACAACCTGCATAGGTGTAAACCTAACCTATGACAGAGTGGCAGCATAGCCCATTCTGTATGAGTACCCATCTAAATATTTGTACACCGATGTTTCTGAAGTTCAATAATACTGTCTAATCAGATCTCAGATCACATGGAACAACATGAATGCATACGTGGAACATGCAATATAGAGTATAGCATTTCAAAGACTCAACGTAAGTGGCACAATTTGGGGTCACTAACAAGCAGGGGCGGACTGACAACTCATGGGGCCCCTGGGCAATAGGGGATCATGGGGCCCCTGTGTCCTTGCCCAAACTCAAAAAAGCCTATGAAAAAGGTACCAAGGGCATCTCATGGGGCCCCCTACTGACTCCGGGCCCTCAATAGGGGATCATGGGGCCCCTGTGTCCTTGCCCAAACTCAAAAAAAGCCTATGAAAAAGGTACCAGGGGCATCTCATGGGGCCCCCTACTGACCCCGGGCCCTCGGGCACTGCCCGAGTTTCCAAATGGTCAGTCCACCCCTGCTAACAAAGTATCACTCACCATACTGTAGGGCTGTCATATACTTACTGCATGTTTGAGCTAGAGAAAGCACCAGGAACAGAGTTTCTTAGAGCCCTTAAAAATATTTTATAGATTCTATAGGTGACAGCAAGAACTACAGCCAATCCCTGGGGAGGTGTCCCCAGATGGCGGTGAAAGAGCTCATAAATAGTCTGAGGCCTGAGCAGCAGAGTGAGCGTTCCTGAGTCCAGATCTGCAGGAGAAGACCCCTTGTTGAGTTGCTCTGGGTATTGGCAGGAGGCAGCCAATGCTGAGCACAAGACCCCAATGCTGCACAGTGTGACAGTGTGGTGCTTTGGGACTCTGGGAGGAGTACATGTCACAGTGAGCCTAGAGATCCACATAACGTAGTATATGCAGCATTACATTGTTCCCCCACTAGTTGTAAGATATTTTTTGTTTTGGAATGGAATAGAAAATGAGAGAAACAGGGATTTGTGGTATCAATACTTACCGTTTCATTATATTCTTTCTCTGATATTTTTTGCACATGCTCAATAGCCCTTTTCATCAGATCCTCCAAAGATTCATTGGTCCTCTCTCTTCGGCTCTCCTTTCCTCCAGATTTGGCCAAAAATGAATAACAACTGTCCTCAGCCCGAGCTCTGCCTCTAGCCTAAATAAAGTCATAGTAGTATTATACCCAGCATTCATCATTTGCAGATTCAGCACCTCCATTTTCTAACAGCAATAATCCCTATTTCTGATGACTATTGGGGAAGAAAACATGAATTTTATGTTTCTGTATTCCCGTCCTTTGTGGGCCATTTCAGAGAATATGTAAAATAATCTGAAAACCTTTTTTTCCTGTGATAGTTGACCCTGCCTCTACCCACTTCTTGATCCCCTGAATTTTGTTTTAATGGTGTGGGGGCCTCAGTGGCCAGTAGGGAGACCTGGGAGATAGAAAAGGGTGGTACCAAGGTCAAGTTTTACCAGAAAAAAATTTCAGTTACCTATATTTCTGCTTACCATTTTGACATGCATTTTCACTTAAAGAAGGACTATTATTAAAATTGATTTCGTGTTATTTAACTCCGCAGGGTACAAATCATACAAAGTCACTAGGTACAGCACAGAGACATAAATTCCTCCATCCAAAATACTTAGCCCCGATTCACACTGATGCTACTTATCATACGTCTTGATGCGACTTGCGACACATAAAGTTGCATAACAAGTCAAAACATAGTCATTTTAATGGGTGCCATCTTAATCAATGTGACTCAAGTCGCAGCAACTTAAAAATAAGTTCCTGCACAACTTTTATGCATCCGTGGTGCGACTTCAGTGCCACAGACTGCAATGTTAAAATCGCAAAAGTCGCAAGGATTGCCAAAAGATGACTACAGCATGGCTCTCCAGTTCTGGGAGGACGCCCATAGATGTCCAAGTGCGTGCCTCAGGCGTACTCTGTAACTGCTGTGTCCTTTGGATACAGCTGATCACAGATCATATTAAAAAGACCAATCACAGTGATCCTTAATAATGTGATCAGCTGTATCCAATCACAGTTGGTCATATATAAACAGGCTTGCCGGTTATCGGTATTCTTTACCTCACACACTGTCTCCGTGTGAGGAAAGGAGAGCCTATAACCAGCAAGTCTGACAGGGCAGAGTAAGTACACTGTTTACACTGATAATCAGGGCACTGATCATCAATGCCCTCATTATCATTGCAGCCCCATCAGTGCCAATTAATGCCCATCAATGTAGGTTATCAGTGCCCAACAGTGCAGCTTATCAATGTCCATTAGTGCAGTTTATCAGTGACTGTCAGTGTCACCTATCAATACTGCCTCATCAGTGCCCACCATAAAAAACCTGACAGGGGCTATAACCCTCCCTTACTCTATCCAAAATGGAAAAAGAAAAGGTTTGCCTATGGTTCCACTTTCACCAAAGACTGAGGGATTATTTATAATGATAAATGTCAACTTGACATTTTTGACTTTTACATGCATATTTGACTTCAGTTTACGAGCTTCTTCTTGCATCTACTCTAGAGATTCATTATTTTCTAAATTACACCTACTGATCTTACCTGCACCATCGCTATTTCGTTAGTCATAAGACCATAACGCACAACAATATTACATTCTGGGATATCAAGGCCCTCCTCCGCAACGCTGGTCGAAATGAGCAGGTTTAGCAAGCCTTTACTAAAATTTTTAATAACTTCTTGTTGCTCATTCTGTAAATACAGATAAGGAATATATATTATTGTTTGAACCAAGGGCAATTTAAACTGATTTAACCCCTGGATTACCAGGAGAGTTAAAGTGTTTCAATTGCAAAGCAATATCAGCATGAAGACATTGGAATAACACATTAACATTATGATCTGATTACATTTCTACGACAATGCCATATCACTATAGGTCAGCTCCATGTAGTGGCCATAATGCTGTATTTTCCAGATTGGGGTAGTTCAGGAAAATACAACATTATAGTTATTAGATGAAGCTGGGGATCATATGATGTAAACATATCACACAACTTTCAGTAAATTGTTTTTTATTAATAGACCCATAACTGTCTTTTTTGGACCAAGGCAATGTCCCACTCCTGTGCTCCTTAGTTCTACAGTTATCAAGGACTACCAATATTTTTTTTAATTTTTCCTGTAATTGTCATGGTAAAGGAGCAATGCTGACAGTTTCTGTTAGCAGACATAACTACTTCAATACCTGTGTCATGTGCTTGGTCTGATTGCTGATGCCAGCTCCAGTTAGTGCCGCAGTCTTTATGTTCAGCTCTTTGAGAGTGGAATTACTCATGATCCAGTTGTGCAGAGAGTGGGTACTTTGCCGAGTGCGAGTGAAGATGATCCCACGGGAACCCAGCGAGGACTGGAAATGCTCTTTGAGAATCTCTTCAAGCCTCTTTAGCTTGGGATTTTCATTGTTCTGGTCTTTGCTCAGTTCTAGCAGGTGCTCACTGTTAGCTGAAAAAGCAAAATAAATAAATGCCAAAAATTAATAAAGCCTACGAGCCAATAAAAAATACAGAAAAAAAATCTAAATCTTATATACATTTTAAATACCAAATTTAAATAAGTATGAATAATAATGATGGGGTAAATCTAGGTTGATTTTATTATTTTTTTTAACACCTGTTCGTCTGTTAAACCTCTTAGGAAGCTTTTCTCCTATCATTCTTTATCTAAATCCATTGGATGTAGTAAGTAAAAAGTACAGTAAATCCATTGGATGCAGTAAGTAAAATGTATATGTAGCACTACCCCCTTGAGATCTGCTGGTTTTGGGTCCCCCTATTTTTCTGCACGGCCAGGCAACACACATTTGTCAGCTTTCATTCAGAGTCAGGAACTAGTCCATGGGCTTGTTTATATTGTTTAAATTGGGGATAAACAACTTGCATAGGGTCTAGGGCAGCAATGGGCAAACTACGGCCCGGCGGACCTTTTAATCCGGCCCGCGGAGCGTGATAAAAAAAAAAAAAACAGCCAGGGCAGGCAAACATTGGCTGTCAGGATGTGTGTAGGCGGGGCAGCGTGACAAACGTGAGGGGAGCTAGGCTCCTCTCACAGTCCGCCCTGAAGACCGGAACGGCGTGGGAACACGGCGAGAGGAACGCGCGGAGCAAAGGTAAGTAAATTGACACAGGGGGGACTTGGCTTACTACTTGGGGGGGAATAGTACTATGGGGGATGAAATACTATATGAGGGATGAATTAATATGGGGGATGAATTAATATGGGGAATGAATTACTATACTAATTACTAGGGGGATGAATTACTATGGGGGATGAATTACTATGGGGGATGAATTACTATATGGGGGATGAATTACTATGGGGGATGAATTACTATAGGGGGGATGAATTACTATATGGGGGATGAATTACTATGGGAATTACTATGGGGGATGAATTACTATAGGGGGCATTAATTACTATGCTTACTATGGGGGAATATTACTATACTTACTATGGATGGCATGGTAGTGGCTGGGCCCGGCCAGCAGCTAGTGGGGGGCATAAAAGTTTTGTAAAATAACTCTTTTATGCTTTTCTACCTTAAATTAATCTAAACATTTAATGTTACAAATTTTAATTTAATTTATATTAATTCACACATAAACATCATTCATCTACTCTTGGTCCGGCCCCCGGGTCCAATATATGAACCCATTGCGGCCTCAAGTCAAAAAGTTTGCCCACCCCTGGTCTAGGGGTATGGGTATATGGGATGCCCAACTTGACATGAAACTAATAACTTCACAAAATGTAGGATCCTGGACTTTCTACTACTCCCTCTGGAGAGGCATTAGTCTCTTCACGGACCAGCAACAAAGTCAGCTAAAAACTATAACAAAAAATGGTGAAGCGCTATGCAAATGCAACAAATCAGTGTATATACACACAAATATACAGTGGGGATCGAAAGTTTGGGCACCCCAGCTAAAAATTTGTATTAATGTGTATAAAGAAGCCAAGGAAAGATGGAACAATCTCAAAAAGGCATCAAATTACAGATTAGACATTCTTATAATATGTCAACAAAAGTTAGATTTTATTTCCATCATTTACACTTTCAAAATAACAGAAAACAAAAAAATGGCGTCTGCAAAAGTTTGGGCATCCTGCAGAATTTATAGCATGCACTGCCCCCTTTGCAAAGCTGAGATCTGCCAGTGTCATGGATTGTTCTCAATCATCGTCTGGGAAGACCAGGTGATGTCAATCTCAAAGGTTTTAAATGCCCAGACTCATCTGACCTTGCCCCAACAATCAGCACCATGGGTTCTTCTAAGCAGTTGTCTAGAAAACTGAAACTGAAAATAGTTGACGCTCACAAAGCTGGAGAAGGCTATAAGAAGATAGCAAAGCGTTTTCAGATGTCAATATCCTCTGTTCGGAATGTAATTAAGAAATGGCAGTCATCAGGAACAGTGGAAGTTAAAGCAAGATCTGGAAGACCAAGAAAAATATCAGACAGAACAGCTCGCAGGATTGTGAGAAAAACAATTCAAAACCCACGTTTGACTGCACGATCCCTCCAGAAAGATCTGGCAGACACTGGAGTTGTGGTACACTATTCCACTATAAAGAGATACTTGTACAAATATGGTCTTCATGGAAGAGTCATCAAAAGAAAACCTCTTCTACGTCCTCACCACAAAAATCATCATTTGAACTTTGCAAATGAACATATAGACAAGACTGATGCATTTTGGAAACAAGTTCTGTGGACCGATGAGGTTAAAATTGAACTTTTTGGCTGGAATGAGCAAAGGTACGTTTGGAGAAGAAGGGGCACAGAATTTAATGAAAAGAACCTCTGTCCAACTCTTAAGCATGGGGTTGGATCAATCATGCTTTGGGGTTGTGTTGCAGCCAGTAGCACAGGGAACATCTCACGAGTAGAAGAAAAAATGGATTCAATAAAATTTCAGCAAATTTTGGATGGTAACTTGATGCCATCTGTGAAAAAGCTGAAGTTAAAGAGAGGATGGCTTCTACAAATGGATAATGATCCTAAACACACCTCGAAATCCACGGGGGATTACATCAAGAGGTGTAAACTGAAGGTTTTTGCCATGGCCTTCACAATCTCCTGACCTCAACATAATTGAAAATCTATGGATAGACCTTAAAAGAGCAGTGCGTGACAGACAGCCCAGAAATCTCAAAGAACTGGAAGACTTTTGTAAGGAAGAATGGGCAGAGATACCTTAAACAAGAATTGAAAGACTCTTGGCTGGCTACAAAAAGTGTTTACAAGCTGTGATACTTGCCAAAGGGGGCAGTACAAGATATTAACTCTGCAGGGTGCCCAAACTTTTGCAGACGCCATTTTTTTGTTTTCTGTTATTTTGAAAGTGTAAATGATGGAAATAAAATCTAACTTTTGTTGACATATTATAAGAATGTCTAATCTGTAATTTGATGCCTTTTGGAGATTTTTCCATCTTTCCTTGGCTTCTTTATGCACATTAATACAAATTTTTAGCTGGGGTGCCCAAACTTTCGATCCCCACTGTAGGTGAATAAATATACATTAATAAGCAATAATTAAAATGTGAGACTCCAATCTTTTAAATAATATAGAGTGACGTGCTTAAAACAGCAACACACTGTGCAAAAACAAGTGCCTGGTCTGCCAATCAAAATATATACACACCAGGTTAAATGAAATATATACCCAAAATAGATATATATACATAAATAATATTAACGTGAGACTCCAATCCTTGAAATAATACAAAGTGACCCGTGCTTAAAAACAGCAACACACTGTGTAAAAAATGCCTGGTCTGCCAAACAATATGTATTCACACCAGGCAGAGTGAAATATATACCAAAAATTAGATATCCATTATTAATATATCAAGTGATAGGTGCAACAACACAAATAGAAAAAAATAATTAAACGACAATTGAATACAATTATTCAGTGTAAACATCGATAGTGACCAGTCCAACAAAAAGTGCTTCAATCTTCAGTGTACACTATAAGTGCTCTCAGTGACACTCTTTGTGACTTATCCCACAGTGGCTAAAGTGCCTCCTCACCTCCTAACATCGACCCTTAAGGGCCACAACACCTTGGGTAATCCTCAAATCAGAAGGCTTCCCACACTATGGCTCCACCAACTCCACTGACTCCAATCGAGCTCCGATTATAACTCAGCGCATCAAATATCCCTTTCACACAATAGGCTCAGGCATGCATGACAGGGGTAAAGAGAAAGACCTCCATAGTGTGATACCGCTTTATTAATGAAAAAAACGCCAAATAAATGGATACTCACATTAAAATCCTATTAGTACAGCAGTTTCCCATGTGCTATGGATGTACTAGGGGACTCAGGTGTACCAAGATGGCGTCAAAACCGGAAGTGCGTCCCCGCTGAAACCGGAAAGTGCGTCACCGCACATGCTCTCTACACGTTACACCACGATAGGGCACGTGGCTTCCTCAGGAAGTCCACACTAATTCCTGTGGACTTATTCGTTAGTATACTATCTACACCATATTCCATCATCTTGTGAGCGCTGGATATGTTTGTCATTTATACAAGGTGTTGTATATGCCATTAAGCTCCCTCTGTCAGCTTCCTTTTCTTCCTTCCAACCTCCAGCCTGGAGGCAGACCTCCCCCCTCCCTTCTCTGGGGTCCCCTCCCAGGCTACACAGTAGTACACCTCAGGACTCCATCTTCCACCAGACCCCCCTGCTGCCCAGGCTCTCTCATATTTATGGGCCAGTCTGCCACACTGCCAGGCTTCCTGCCTGGGATTGGTCAGAATGCCATGAATATGCAGATCAGCTCCTCCTGGCCTCCATCCACTGGCTTCTAGAAACTTCTCTAAGCTTCCAGAAACAGGGGAGGTACCAGAGGACTGACCTGTAGAGCCCTTCAGCCTTCCTTGAAATTACAGACAAGGAAAAGGGACATTTTCACAAGGACAGCAAGATGCACATTTTCAACAGAGAGAGAGAACTGTTTCACAAGAGGCATGAAAAGGCCATCTAAGTCAATCTGGAGTAACCCTTAACAGCATTGAAATTCTTCAACACCTTATTTTACCCACAAACAGTATACTGTATTATGGTTTTAATCACTTGACCTCCAGAAGATGTACCCCACTTTATGACCAGGCCAATTTTTGCTATACTGCTTTGCCTTACTTTAACTGACAATTGAGCGGTCATGCAATGCTGTACATAAATGAAATTTATATATTTTTTTTTACAAATAGAGATTTGATCATCACTGGGTTTTTTTTATTTTTTGCGCTATAAATGAAAAAAGAGTGACATTTTAAAAAAAATATTTTTTTACTTTCTGCTATAAAACATCCAATAAAAACAACTAAAAAATTGTTTCTTCATCAATTTAGGCCAAAATGTATTCTGCTACATATTTTTGGTAAACAAAAAACCCAATAAGCATATATTGATTGTTTTGCAGTTTC